GCTTACAGGACTAAAATATGCAAGCAAACCATAGCAATTACCTGGTTGAAAAAACTTTGCATTTGGTATAATCTACACCCTAGCTGGGTACTACCCATCAATGACTGCAAGAACCAAAGACTGCATCAGGAGATACACTAGATCAAAACCACCTGCTGCATCTCTCAAAAAAGCATATAAAATTATTGGTATAGAGAATGCTCTCTCTAAAGGAGTTTAGCTAAACTTCAAATGCTAGAAAGAGTCAATAAGCTATACCCTAGAAGATATAAAGTCTTGTAAAAGGAAACGAAGAATTAAGGTTGTACAACATTGGCAAGATTTTCCTTTGGAAGTAGTTCCATGGTTCTATTTTCTTGGCTAGAAAGCTACCTTTCATTAAGTGGTCTGTCTTGAGTAGCAGACCCTTCTGTTCTTTCCTCTTTTGTCTGATTGTCTCACCACTTATGTAAATGAAATGTCCCACCATTCTGTAATAATTATACAAAAGTCTGCAGCCCTTAGAAGACCTACCCATTTACACCTCATTGCAGAACACAACAGTCATTGGAGAAAAACTCTCTAACCTCGTTTTGTCCACCTTTAAATGAAACTAACTACATTGCTTCTTCTTTTCTTTTACTTACTTTTAAAATTCCTGAAAACCCATCCCCTCCTTTTTTCTGTCTTTATGAGCATCAGATTTGTTTATGCTTTTTCAGGTGGGAGAGTTGTTCTCCTACTAGTTTTCCTGCTGCGTGTTTAACAGCTTAGCTCCTCACTTCTTACATGCATGCAGGAGAGTGAAGAAGCAGGTACAGAACAGAGGTAGTAAAATGGTGAAATGTTTTTACTAATCTAGATAACAAGACTTCAGATAATTTTTTTCTGGTTTGAACACTATTAAGTACAGTTATTGCAACCAAAGCAAATAGAAAAAAAAAAAAACAACCAACAAATGTTGTCTTCTGTGACATGTCAAAGGGACATGGTTATTGTTAAAAATAAGGAAATAACAAACTGAAAACATCTCATCCAAAATGTGGAGTTGGCAACTATAAATAATACTACCATATTTAAGTATTTCGCCTGAATGACGAAAATAGGTTAGCTTCCTATTCTTATGTTTGCGTGTTGAACAGATTTAAAGTGCTACAAGGAAAATGTATTAATTCCAAGAGGAAACAAGCTTTCACTAAAATTAAACAAGGTAACAGAAATTAGTATTTCTCTTCTGTAGCATCTTGGTTTTAAAACATGACAGTTTGACAATGACTCTTTCAGCAGACTTTAGACAACAATAACATAACTGCCATGAATTGCCTCCCTTCGAACTTATAAGGAAGCACTGAGTCCTTTCTTAGAGATCAAACTGAATTTGAAATCTTAAACTAAAATTTCCATCAGCAGCCCTATGCTCCTTTGTTAACAGCACTTAAAAAAACCAACCACCAAACATGCAATTAAATACACTTTCCATTTCCAGTTAAGGTAAATCAGTCCCACCCAAATTACTAGTTAAAGAAAACGTTTCTTCATGCTGCAGTAAATTAACTACTATTAATGGTGCAATGGGAGTTACAGATTGTTACTTCCTTGAGGTCAGTTCTCAACACAGCTGAAAACAATCTAGGTTCACTTCGCATTGTTCTTAAAACAGACATATTGAAGGGAAAATCGTAAGCACTGGGCCCTGGTATCTGTAGATAATTATTCATGTGGTCTACACACAAAAAAAGGAAAGTGTGACGTGAGAGATCCAACAGAATCGCTATTCATGCTCTATTGACCACAAGGAAGAGACAGCTGTTGAAGTACAGCTCATACCTTCTAGTTACCAGGAAAAGGTGACAGAACAGGAGAAGAATTTAAGTACGGCAACTTCTTGAGCATAGGAGCAACAAGCTTTCACACACGGGGAAGAAGGGCGGGCAGAAAATGGATGTCATGAACCTTAAAACCTGTTAGATACTAGAAGAAGCAGGCATCAGCATAGGTGAGCGTCTGGCAGACAAGATTTACCTGTGAGATACAAAGGGAGGGTCAAGAGGAAAAACTGACTCATAGTTGGCATGGATTTGATGGCTTGGATAGAAGAGGGTGCAACTGAGCAGCACGCATTACACGCACAAGGCAGACATTGCCACGGAACTAGTAAATGCTGCTCACCTGTACTGGGGTGGCGTGGAAACAGTGAAGACACTTTAGCTTTTTTATGCTATAAAGTAACAAAAGCATGAGAAAAAGGTGCTTTCTTGAATAATATACCTCAGTCTGAAACCCATAATGCCAGCCGTTAATAATACAAAAAAATGACCTTGCATTTGATGTGATAATTTACTGTTTGCCTGCATGGCTCTATCGTAAGAGACAGCTTGTCAAAAAGGAAAAAAGAGCAGAAGCTGGCTGCCAACCTTCGACTCAAACATTCGCTAAACTCATTGAATAAAACCAAAACAAGCTCAGAAACTTCGCTGTACTGCCAGCCTCGCAGGCTGAATTAAACACAACGCAAAGAGCAGGAAGGGGGGTTAATTCGCACCTCCGGGCTCTCTGGCTTTGTCACATACCTGCTAGTTTCCTTGTTCGCTGCAAAAAAAGAACAGCTGCCGGGCAGGGACGG